ACCCATTCCATTTGTCAGCAGGTGTAGATTGTGCACTTCAACTACTACTACTAGTGCTCATTGAAAGACCAGAATTTTGCCCAAATTAGACATGTACAACAACAAAGGTGATGGATTGGTATGGAGGGAGGAAGGAGGTTTACATGCAAATAAGAAAACTATTGTTGCAGTTAAAAAAAAAAAAAGGCAACCAAACTAACAAAAAAAAATCCCCATACCTGGGAAGCTGAAAACTGGTGGTGACACCAATATTATGAGAATTTAGCAGGCTTATTTTTTTTTTAATACAGTACAGTTCTAGTAAGTGCTCTATAAAAGTACGGGGCAGCTTTGTTTAATGATGGCTGTGTTTGTATCTCCAAGTAAATCACATTTTGAGTGACTTAACTGAATTGGAAGAAAACTCGAGTCTTTTGCAGATGATCCTGTCTTAGACTTGTATTGTGTCACTGCAAAATTAAGTGGGCTTTTTGTGCAAGGATTGTAATTTTCTAAATCTGATTTCCCTAATGGTGTTGTAACTAGTGGATGAAAGCATGGTTGGGGACGTAAGAAACAAGATTGGTCAAACTATAGACTACAAAAATGTACAGGAATAGTCAGTATTTAGGTTTATATTATGATGGTTTGGTATTGCATAAACTTAGAATTTTAAAGGCCAAACAGAAAACTTAGGAAACTCATTGAAAGTGAGTTATAAGGTATTGCACATTCTTAACTGCTGCATGGAGGGGCTTTAGTTGAAGCAGGACTGTGGGAGAAGCAGTGGATATTGTGGAGGGAATTTACCTGAACTGAAAATAGCCATTTTTCAAAAGTTGCATAGGTATCAAAATAAAAAAACCCAAACCTTAAAGCCTTTACTTTGGCTATTAAAAGGTTTTGTCTAAGCCTTATATGTAATTAGCACTGAGGTGCTTTTAATGCAGGAATTATTTGTAACTAATGTATTTTTATGCTGACTTGTATAGTATCTGTACCTTTTTTAATGTAATTAGAGCTTGCGAGACATTTTTTCCCTAAAACGTTTCGTTTAATAACCTGTCTAGAATGAAGATGAATAGGATGAAATAGAAATATGAATTCATTTCTTCTGTTTTCACCAGCTGCCTTCTATTCCTTTATGGGCAAAGTTCTGATAACTGCTTTTTTTCCCTTAGGAAAAACTCATATGGCTACCGAAAGAAAAGAGAGGACAAGTTTACAGTGAGTGTTCATGATCATATTCACCTATAATAAAAGTAGGGTAACAAGGCAGTAGTGTGGATGTTATGTGGAGTAGCAGGTGAGATAAGTTCTTGCATAAGCAATTTTATGTCATAGCTGACTGAAGGCAGCAGCTCATTAGTCACACGTTTACTGCATTTGGGTATCAGAGAAGTTTGTCAGTTAATGCAGAAGTCAGGAAAAAGTTAACATTACTCTTTTCATAGTAGCAAAAAAGTTCCATCTTAGTGTTACTGTGTCAGCACACCAGTGTTCATGTTCAGGGATAGCTGAATAACTAAGCCACGGTTCAAAACACTTGATATTTGCTTGTCATTAGTTTAGATGCCAATGTTTTATAGATCTATGTGTCATGCTGTATATCTAGAATGTTAGTTAGCAAGTGGTCAGCTCTGTTAAATGCCACTCCAAGTACCACTTGGTAAGGGTACGGTATCGCTGTTGGAAATATTACCGTTTTGGTGAACTTCAGTGTGAATACCTTGATAGCTTTGAAATTTGAAAAGGCTGGACTAGACATTGTGTAGAAAAGTTTAATTTTTTTTGTAGGGCTTAAGATTTGATTTGACAAAACCAGATGCTTCTCGGCAATTCACTTTTGCCACGCTTGACATGTTCATAAAGTCGAACTGGATTATCTCCTTATTCATGTTGCTATTGCAAAGTAACCCCACTGCATGAGCCATAATGCTTTCTTAAAGGTCTGAAGTCATTGTATTTGTGGCTCCCGCTGTTGACTATAGGACTTTGATAAAGGAGTATCAAGGTTTGGAAAATATAAAATGGCAACTGATTCCTACTCTTCGGTTGCTTTTAGTTCTTGTCAAACTTAAAGCTCAGTGAGATCAGATTACATGTAGGATTCTGCTTTGTTTTGCTCTTTCAAAGCTGCTAGGACTTTCAGATTGATGTTTTCCTACCAACATTATTTCTTTTTTTTTGACTTTGAAAGAACAAGGAAGTGGTAGAGGTTAGGCATATAAGTGAGTGGCTGCAGTGAAAGGATTACCTTGGCGGCACTTACTGAGCAGAGAGGCTTTTTTGGCTCAGAGCTGACTTTAAAGTTAAAATAAACTTTGAGTGTAGAACTGTTAGACACAACTTCTTTGGACACCCACCATTCCTTTCTTGCAGCAGCTGCCTTTAATTGCAGCCTGTGCAGCCATGCTTCTTCTAGTCACTTCTAGTCTACGAATCTTTAGTCTGTACTGTACAGAGATGCAGCTGCGTAAGAGGTAAGAGCTGCTGCACATCCACAACTGTGTACACTGGAAAGGAGCATACAAATTTGACCCCTTTAGACTGGAAATAATTGATTCCAGGGTCCTATTTCTTGTGTGGTGCTGCAGTGATTAGATAGAATCATAGAATAGTTTGG